GCCGAGGCGGGCGGATCACGAGATCAGGAGATCGAGACCATCCTGGCTAACCCGGTGAAACCCCGTCTCTACCAAAAACACAAAAAATTAGCCGGGTGTTGTGGCGGGTGCCTGTAGTCCCAGTTACTCGGCAGGAGAATGGAGTGAACCCGGGAGGCGGAGGTTGCAGTGAGTTGAGATCGCACCACTGCACTCCAGCCTGGGCGACAGATATAGGCTCTGTCTCAAAAAAAAAAAAAAAAAAAGTGAAAGGGGGGAATTTCATTCTCTCTGAAATCACTTCTTCTTTTTTTTTTTTTTTTTTTTTGAGACAGAGTCTCGCTCTGCTGTCTAGGCTGGAGTGAAGTGGCTCGATCTCGCGTCACGGCAACCTCCACCTGCCAGGTTGAAGCGATTCTCCTCCCTCAGCCTCCCAAGTAGCTGGGACTACAGGTGCCCATCACCACGCCTGGCTACTTTTTGTATTTTTAGTAGAGACGGGATTTCACCATATTGGCCAGGCTGGTCTCGAACTCCTGACCTCGTGATCCACCTGCCTCAGCTTCCCAAAGTGCTGGGATTACAGGCATGAGCTGCTGCGCCCGGCCTGAAACCACTTCTAGCATAGGATTGCATGCAACTCTAGTCCCAGTGGCTGGAGGGTGGGTAGGAAGAGGGGGTAGGGAGGGTTAGATGATCTTCCCAGCAAGTCCTCTAGGTGTGTTCGAGTGGGAATGTGTAAGATCCTCTCTCCACTCTCCCCCATTTCCCTGTTCCAGAACCTGCAGATGACAGCAGCTTCTCGCTGTCCCAAGAGGTTCTCCGGCACCTGCGGCAGGAGGAAAAGGAAGAGGTTACTGTGGGCAGCTTGAAGAACTCAGCGGTGCCCAGTACCTCCACAATGTCCCAAGAACCTGAGCTCCTCATCAGTGGAATGGAAAAGCCCCTCCCTCTCCGCACGGATTTCTCCTGAGACCCAAGGTCACCCTGCCAGAGCCTCCAGTGGTCTCCAAGCCTCTGGACTGGGGGCTTTCTTCAGTGGCTGCATGTCCAGCAGAGCTATTTCCTTCCACAGGGGGCCTTGCAGGGAAGGGCCCAGGACTTGACATCTTAAGATGAGTCCTGTCCCCCTGGGCCAATCGTTTCCCCTCTCTGAGCCTCGGTGTCTTCAACCTGTGAAATGGGATCATAATCACTGCCTTACCTCCCTCACGGTTGTTGTGAGGACTGAGTGTGTGGAAATTTTTTGTAAACTCTGGATGCTAGGTACTTAGGGAATGTGCCAGGTGTCTTTCATGGGGCCTTCCAGACCCACTCCCCAGCCTTCTGCCCTTCCTCTGCCTGGGGACGCCGAACTCTCTCGATGGTATCGACAGGCTCCCTTGCCCTTTGGCTCCTGGTCATGTTCCATTATTGGGGAGCTCCAGCAGGAGAATGGAGGAGAGGAGGAGACTGAGTTTGGGGTAATGAATCCCCCGGCTCCTGCCCTGCAGCATCAAGGTTGCTGTGGACTCTCCTGCCGGGCAACTCTTGAGTAATCATGACTATCTCTAGGATTCTGGCATCACTTCCTTCCCTGAGCCCTTAAGCCTAGCTGTGTATCCACCCCACTCCGCCCCTGCCACCCCACTAGAGTACTCCCTCTCACTTGCAGTTTCCTTGTACTCCACCCTTTTCCCTTTTTAAAGCACACCTCAGATTACCCAATGTGAGTGAGTCGTCTTTTTCCTGCTGGACTCTGACTGATATAACAGATGGGAATTACTGTCCCTGATGTCCAAACCTGCCTGCACATGCATGCCTCCCTGCACCCCTCCTTATCCTAGTACAGGGCAGCAGGGTGCTGGGTGTCATTTTCCATCTGGACAGAGCCTACTAGTCAGGCTGAGGGCACCTGTTCTTTCAGTGCCTTTCTCTTCAGTGAGAGGCTTGGGGAGCAGGGACCACAGACTGGCCTGAGCCAGCACACAGATGATGCCACGAGGGTACACAGCTGTGTCCTGGGCAAGGGGCCACTCAAAGGAGCAGGTGACACTAACTATAGGTGCCAGATGAGAGAGCCTGCAAAGGGACAAGGGGAAAGAGTTTGTGTGATGAGATGGGACAGTCCCTGGAGGGCCTTGGACAGCACAGCCAACTGCCGTGCCGTACCTTCCGCCATCACGGTTACAACTGAGTCACCGATTCCATGCTGTGGTGGCGCAGTTACCCCCATCTGGGAGGGCAGGCAGCCTATCTCTGTTAGTTTCATTTGTCTCAGCAGGCTGGGCTCGTTCCCTCCCTCCCACTTTTTTTTTTTTTTTCTTTTTTGAGATGGAGTTTCACTGTTGTCACTCAGATTGGAGTGCAATGGCATGATCTTGGCTCACTACAACCTCCGCCTCCAGGGTTCAGGTGATTCTCCTGCCTCAGCCTCCCTAGTAGCTGGGTTTACAGACATGCACCACCATGCCCAGCTAATTTTGTATTTTTAGTAGAGACGGGGTTTCGCCAGGCTAGTCCTGAACTCCTGACCTTGGGTGATCCTCCCACTTTGGCCTCCCAAAGTGTTAGGATTACAGGCGTGAGCCACCGTGCCTAGCCTTTTTTGTGTGTGTGTGTGTGTGTCACAAATGCTCAATATACATTTCTGAGTACAGCATCACTGCGGAGAAATGCTCCACACAGACACACATGGGTCAGAAGGAACTGGCTGCCCCTAAGGACGGCAGAGCGAAGGGAGTCAAGAGGGAACAGTCCCCACTCTTCCTAAGTATCCCAGCCACCCTGTCCCCAAGGCCTGAAGATCCTCCATCATCACACCAGTGGCTTGTATACTAGAAACCAGCCCAGAATCAAAGGCCTTTCCAATCCATCCAGTCCCTATCATGGGGCTTAGGCTGTGGATTCTGATGGCCCCAGGTTCAAATCCTGACTCTACCACTTAGTACCTGTGTCTACCTAAGTATCTTGATAACCCTCGGTTTGCCCAAGTGTAAAATGGGGATAGCAGTGGCCCCTCCCCTGGAGGTTGCTGTGAGGAGTGAATGGTATCATATCTGTAGGTCCACAGAGAAGCCTGGTGTCCAGCACATAGCTGGACGGGGCAGCACATAGTTAACACGGGGCAGCTATTAACACTTTAGCTGCCGCTCCCGGATCCCAAAGGAGGCAAGCCTGCCCTCTGCACACTCTGCAATCCCCACCTCTGTTCCTTTTTATCTCCTGTTATTTCCCAGCCTCCCTGGCTGTGCTGGGGTCTTGCTGATGCCGCCAGGGGACTTCTTGTCCCCAGGAGTTCCCCAGGGTACAGCACCAGAAGTCCCGCCATGAATGTTTGTCTGCACATTCTTAACTGCAGACGAGTGAGATTCAGAGGTGCTGGGGAAGGCAGTGCCACCAGCAGGCACTGAGTCACCAGAAGGCCCAGTTTTGTCTTCCTGGCTCCTGGATGCATCATCCTGACCCCCCTGCTGACTAGACCCAGGTCCTCCCACTGCTGGGAGTGGTCCCCACCCCGTTCCTTCCTTCCCAAAACAAGTTCCATGGAGCTCCTTTTCCTTTCCTGTTTTCTCATCAGCTGGAAAGATCTGGGAAATGTCCTATGGTACATTCTAGGCTTATTCCAACAGGCCCAGGCACACAAAAAGTGGGAGGCCATGAGAGCCTCCCAAATCCCCCCTATCCCTTCTGGGGAGGCAAGACAGAGTCAGTGGGGGCCTCTGAAAGCCAATGTTTGAACTACAAATTGTGCTTGGGCTTACAAGGACTTTGGAGCTTGTCAACAAGGTCTGGGCCCTAACAGCCGAAGGACTGCCCCTGACTGACCAAGGAGAACAGACGTTCGTCACTTCCTTGAGCCCAGTGAGTCTCAGGGAAGGCAGACACCAGCTTCTCCGCCTGGGCTCTCCCTGGTTGGCCTTTGTAGGATGAGGGCCGCTCCACGGAGCCTCTGACATTCCTGCTTGGGGGAGGTGGTGGAATCTCCTGAGTTGGATTCACATTACAAGGGAAGGAGATTAGAGGTGCAATGAAGGGGCAGAGACTCAGAAAAGGAGATTCAGGGGTCTGGTGGTCCCTGAAGAGGAGGGAGGGATTTTGTGAGGTGACCTTGGGCCCTGGGAAGGCCACCAGCGCATGTTTCTGGGCAGGGCCCTCAAGCTTTGATTTCTCCTGCCCACCACAGGGCTTTCTCTATAAATGTTCTGAGAGAGCAGCTCCAGCTGAGTCCAGTGTGCCCTTCCGACGCTCTGATGCCCAGGCTCCAATTTGCTTTTGCCCTAGTTCTCTGCCTGGTTTCTTGTTCTGAGCTAGGTCAGATTAACTTTCCAAAGTCTCCCTCCTACAGATAAGTGACTTCATCGATGCTGGGCCTGGGTCCATCTGGTGCAGAGCAGGAGCCAGGGACAAGAGGGCCCCGCAGTGCTTCTTCAGGACTGTCTTGGGGGTCCAGTGCCCGCCAGTGGATGAGGTAGATGCCACCATCTGGCTTTGGGATCAGTGGCTCTGTAGGGAGAGTGGCATGGCCCTGGTGCAGCCTTGGCCCAAAATGGACTGCCACTATGATGCAGACTGCTAGCAGAACAAAGACAGCAACGATGATGGTGACCATGGGCAGCCCGTCACCTCGAGGTTGTTCCCAGATGCCACCAAGCACCTCCGAAAGCTGCCTCTGGGACTCCTGCCCTGATGAACTGTTCACAGCTGGAGAAGGCCAGGAGTAGTGGCCAGCCTGGGAGGAGAGTGGCAGAGAAAGAGGGTGACATGGTTGTATACATACAGAAAAAGACTAAAATAGAAAGAGACAAACACTCAAAGGAACCTGAGGCAGGAGAATGAGGGCGGGAGGGACCAAAGACAAAGACAGAAAGACAAAAAGTCAGAGTAAAGACCTGGGGAGAGGTAGAGAATAAAGAGATAAACCACATGGCAGCAGAGACAATAAAAGAAAAGTCAGAAAAGGCAGAGTGGGATACAGAGAGGGAGAAAGAAAGATGAAAGGGGAAAGAAAAAGGCACATAAAAACAGACAGAAATAAAGATAGAGACAGAGACAGAGAAAAAAGAAACAGACTCAGGGAGACAAAGACATTCAGACAGGGACAAAGAGAGTGCTGGTTTCATCCCAGTTCAGCGTATACAGTTTGGGCCCCCAAGTTTCCTCCCACTGTCCCCTCTTCCCAGGTCTCCAGCAAAATTCTTAAATAGATCCTGTGCCCTGGGTCAGGAGTCTTGGCACACTATGGGCTGCTGTCCCCACATCCGAGGCAGTGGGAAGAGAGCACCTGCTTCTTCAAGTCCTGGGGAGAGGGGGTCCTTGTCCAGCATCTTAGGCTCCCCTTACTCCCCACTCACACGGAAGACAGACAGGCGGTGCCCTGGTGGTGGGAGAGGTAGAGGTAGAGGTAGAGGGGACATGAACTTAGAAGGCAGGGGGATGCCTCATCCCATAACTGTGCCCCCGCCACCCTGCCAAGGCCTCAGCATCAGGTTCTGGGGTCTTGGAGGAGAGGGGGTACCCAGTGTGGACTCCTGGCTCTGCCCACTATGGATTGAGGAAACCCTGTGCCAGTCTTCCTCTGTCAAAGTCCCAGTGTTCTTCTACCAAAAGCTGGGGGTCATGATCCATACCGCTGTCTGACTCCACCCTGCTGGATATCAGATGGGGGTGGTGGCACTGTAGTGAAGGTAGCAAACTGCAAAACTGTAAACCCTAGAGCTGAGGTCCTCACAGGCCCAATAAACTTTTCCTCCCCAGCTTCCCCTTCCCAGATGGGCCATCCTGGAACAGATCTTAGCCGGTGGAGTCCCTCCCTCTAGCCCTGCACCCTCAGCGTGGCCCTCCCCATGGGAAGGCCAGGAAAGGCTGCCCAGGACAAGCCCATGTCCTTTAGCCCCTCAGTCCCCCTGTCCACACTATCCCATCTCCCACATGCATCCCTTTTCCTGTGGAAAGGCACCCCCCTCTCCCTACCTTGCAACTATCTCTGGGTCCCAGGCCACAGAGCTCCCAGGGCAGGGGGTGGGGAAGCAGCTCTAGATGTGCAGAGGAAAAGGGGAAGCTGAGGCTGGTGACAGACAGGGGGCCCCTGCAGGAAGTCAGCTCAGCCTGGCAGGAGGGGGCGAGCAGAGTCTACCTGGTGCATTGTCCGGGCTGGCACAGGGCTCCCTTGGGACTGGCAGCCAGCCGGGTAAAGGAGGGCTGGCCGCCCTAGCTCAGCCCCTACCCGGAGCTGCCACGTCTGCGGGGCCCATGGGCACACACCCTGTGCACACACTCTCACTGCTCTCCTGTGCTTGCACTTCCGGGAACATCTGGGCTACCCTGGGCTCTGCCCTTAACTCTGACAGTACCTTAATCTTCCTCCTTGGCGCCTCCTTTCATGCCCCCTGCCAGCTTCGGGAGCCTGGATGTGCCTGCCCACCCACCCTCCACCAGATCCCAGAAGGCTGGCCAGAGCCCCGACCCAACCTGCCCCCCACCAAGTCATGCTGGCTCCTCGCCTTAACCGATTTCCTGGAGTTACTGTCCTTTGATCTTTTCTTTCTAAATGCAATATTTCAAACACAATGGAAATTGCAGATACATTCTCTCTTTAATAAATACATAGTAAGGACGGTGAGCGCGTCACTTCCTGCCGCTGCCAGGCGCGTCCTTCCGCGCGCTGTGACTGACAGTGCAGAGCCGCGGGGGCGGCGGCCCGGAGTTGGAGTCGGAGTCGGAGTCGTGGTGACCAGCTGCAAGCATCCGCGTTGCGTCCTCCTGGGGAAGAGGAAACCCCCTTTTCGCTCGGTTGGAGCCGGCAGTTTCCAACTCCCTGGAGGTCTTTTGGAGTTCGGTGAGACCTGGGAAGAATGTGCTCAAAGGGAAACCTGGGAAGAAGCAGCTCTTCACCTGAAAAATGTTCGCTTTGCCTCAGTTGTGAATTCTTTTCACTGAGAAGGAGAATTACCATTATGTTATTATATTAATGAAAGGAGAAGTGGATGTGACTCATGATTCAGAACCAAAGAATGTAGAACCTGAAAAAAATGAAAGTTGGGAGTGGGTTCCTTGGGAAGAATTTCCTCCTCTGGACCAGCTTATCTGGGGACTGCGTTGTTTAAAATAACAAGACTATGATCCATTTAAAGAAGATCTGAACCATCTCGTGGGATACAAAGGAAATCATCTCTAGGTGGCCAAGAAGATTTCTTGATTTTCTTTAAAAACACAAGAATAAGGTCTGGTTAGGGAATGAAAAATGTCTACATTTCAGAACAACTCCATTTTATCTAAAAAAGTTCTTATGATCGCCAATTTATTTGCAGTCTCTTAATGTATCCACCACCCTTTCAGCCAGTACTTGAGAAAATTTTTCTGAAATATGTCATTGAATTGTATTCCAGACACAGAATATATGATAAATACTGATATTATGGGTAATCTGCTTTCCATATTTACCTGTGATATTTACTGTGTAGTTTGTCATTACTAGCTTGCATGGAGTAGGATGCAGTCGAATTTGCCTTAGTGTTTCTGTTCAAATAGAGACCTGAATTCAAATATTGTAGTTTAGGTTCAAACACAGTATGCCTGTTGCAAAATTTACCAAATTTGTTGATTACCTCTTTTATTAAAGAAATGTTGGGGAGAGGGTAATAAATACATTGCGACAATCTTTGCAACTTACAGGGAATAGGACAGGTCATTAGGGTGTATTTCCCAGGTTTCCAATTGAGAACCTAAACCAAGAGAAGTGAGACAAACCGCCTAATGTCTGTATCCTCCTATTAACAGGCTGTGTGCTGTTGAGTTTCTCACTTACTCTCTCTGAGGTCCAGGGTCCTTATATGTAAAATGAAGAGATTTGTCTAGAGCAGTGGTTCTCAAAGTGTGGTCCGGGGGGCCTCGAGAGCCTTTTAAGGGTATTCTAGGTCAAAGCTGTTTTTATAACACTTAGACATCATTTCATCATTTATAGTTTTTCCTTTTTTTTTATTTGAGAAGGAGTCTTGCTCTGTTGCAGTGGCACGATCTCAGCTCATTGCAGCCTCTGCCTCCTGGGTTCAAGCAATTCTCCTGCCTCAGCTTCCTGAGTAGCTGGGATTACAGGCACCCACTACTACACCTGGCTAATTTTTGTATTTTTAGTGGAGACGGGGTTTCACCATGTTGGCCAGGCTGGTCTGGAACTCTGGAGCTCAAGTGATCTGCCCACCTCAGCCTCCCAAAATGCTTACAGGTATGAGCCACCACGCCCGGCCATCATTTATCTTTTTCACTCATTTTTTCATGAGTGTGCAGAGGAGTTTTTGAGAGGCTATCTGGTGTGATATTGTAATAGGCTGAATGCAAAAGCAGATATGAGAATCCATCTTTTGTCTGTCATCAGACATTGAAGAGATTTGGAGAAATGTAAAGCAGCAGTACTCTTCTCACTAATGATTTTTGTTGTTGTTGGTTAGAAAAATGGTTATTTTTAGTGGGTTTTAATATGTGAAAAAAATAAAAATAGCTATTTGTCAAAAATGTTATTTACGTGTTTATACATAATGGGTTTTTGTTACTTGTAAATGATTAATAAAAATTTTAAGAAATTTAAAAAAATACATAGTAAGTCTCTAAATCTCCAAGGCTCAACCACCAGCTCTGTCTTCTATCAACAGTTTGTCACATTTATTTTTAAAATATTAATATTACAATGAAAACAGAAGCCCTCGTTTCCTGACCTCTCCCCTCCTTCTCACCACAGGGATAAACTTCTTATAGAATTTGATGTTTATTGGTCGGGTGTGGTCGCCCATGCCTGTAATCCCAACACTTTGGGAGGCCAAGGCAGGAGGATCACTTGAGGCTAAGAGTTCAAGACCAGTCTTGGCAACATAGTAAGACCTTATCTCTACGAGAAATTTAAAAAATGAACTGGGTGTGGTGGTGTATACCCATAGTCCCAGCTACTTGGGAGGCTGAGGTGGGAGGATCACTGAGCACAGGAGGTCAAAGACCATGAGCCATGTTTGTGTCACTACACTCCAGCCTGTGCAACAGAGGGAGACCCCATCTCAAAAAAAATAATAATAGGCCGGGCGCGGTGGCTCAAGCCTGTAATCCCAGTACTTTGGGAGGCCGAGACGGGCGGATCACAAGGTCAGGAGATCAAGACCATCCTGGCTAATCCGGTGAAACCCCATCTCTACTAAAAAATACAAAAAACTAGCCGGGCGAGGTGGTGGGTGCCTGTAGTCCCAGCTACTCCGGAGGCTGAGGCAGGAGAATGGCGTGAACCCGGGAGGCGGAGCTTGCAGTGAGCTGAGATCCGGCCACTGCACTCCAGCCTGGGCGACAGAGTGAGACTCCATCTCAAAAAATAAAAATAAATAATAAATAAATAAATAAATAAATATGAACTCTATATTTCTTTGCATTTGCCTGAAGGCAACTTCATTTGAGAGTATGTATGTGTTTTAATGTGTCCAAGTCACAAAAACTGCCCACCAATGTCTCCTCTCTCTAGAGACAGTTTTTTTTAGCCCCGGCTGACTCTGTGGGACCAACCATCCCTCATTCTGTCTGTTGCTGTGCACTTACCATCCTCCCGTCCAGTCTGGAGAGCTGGAGACACCGTGGGAACTCCCCTCCGCTGGAGTCTTGATCCAGGATGAAGCAGAATGTAGCATCCTGGTTCCCTGTTTCTCAGCCAAGCTGTCCCACATCCTGACATCCAGGGACCCCACTCAGACCTCCAAATTCACTTGAGCCCAGATCCTTGGGCTGCTGACCTGATCTGCAAAGTAAGTGGGACCTATTGCTGGCTGACCTTGAAGTCCCTGGCTGAGCCCCTCCCAACGGGATCAAAGACTCTGCTCATCCTCTGCTTCCCATCTTGGTCCATTTAGACTTCAGCCAGAGGGAATCTGGACTCTGCCATGGGTCCTGAACTTTGGCCACTGCTTTTCACCTCCTGCCTCCTCAAGACACATATGCCATTGCTCTGGCAGATACCTCCACTGGGGTGCCTGTCCCTGTGTCCAAAAGCCCAGTTTTTGATCCTTCTGATAACTACTTCTTTCCTTTCCCTCCCTCATTAATCCTGGATCTATCTCCTAAAGGGCTTCCGAGAGGTGGAACTTCCGGGACCAGAATACAGCCCCAGCCTTCTGTGTCACTTCCCTACCACTGCTGTGAGCTGCCTGCCCATTCCTGCCATCTAAACCTAAACATCTGTTACAGCTTAGGTCAAGCGCGGCCTCCTCTAGGGATGAATTTTTCAGCCCTGTACTTGAGTAACTTGCTTTCTTTTCCTTAAGCCTTACAGCATAATGTTTCTTACACGCTCCTAACATTTGTCACACTTTGTCTTATGTTACAGGTGTGTGGGGGCTCATTTTTCCAGGAACCATATCTCTCGTTTTTTTGAGACTGAGTCACGTTCTGTCACCCAGGCTGGAGTGAAGTGGCAAAATCTCAGCTCATTGCAACCTCCACCTCCTGGGTTCAAGTGATTCCAGGAACCATGTCTCATTCCTGAGGAAAACCACCCGCGTTTCTTTCTTTTTTTTTTTTTTTTTTTTTCTGAGATGAGTCTTGCTCTGTGCCCAGGCTGGAGTGCAGTGGTGCGATCTCAGCTCACTGCAAGCCTGTGCCCGGGGTCCGACGCAATTTCCTGCCTAACCTCCAAGTACGCTGTGGGACTAACTACTGGAGTCCCAGTGGGCACCGCCGCGACCCACACCTGGCTAATTTTTTGTATTTTTTTTTTTAGCAGCAGGGTTTCACCCATGTTAGCCAGGAGGATGTCTCGATCTCCTGACCTCGTGATCCGCCCACTCAGCCTTCCAAAGTGCAGGGATTACAGGGGTGAGCCACCACGCCGGCGGCGGGTTTCTAATAAAGAACAAAAGTTTGCTGATACAAGTGGAACCTGGAGGAATGTACCCTCTCACCCCACAATACATACATATCCGTTCTTAATTCCTGGGAAGCATAGGCCAGCAAGCAGAGCGTCCTTCACTTGCGGGAGGGCACTTTCTGGAGCCGTGAACAGGAATGCTCACTGCCTTGTTCCCGCTGTGTCTTTCTGGATTTGTGTCCACAGAGCCTCTAGGTTGGCTGGAGGGGGCTGTAATGATCAAGAATCTGCTCTTACGTCATCATAGAGAACCACATGCCCTGAACTTTTGAGGCTCAAAGCCCTGCAACCAAAAATAAAGACTCTGGGGGTCCTCCCTACCATCACTGGTGGGTGGGCGGGAGCGCCTGAGCCAGCTCCAGACACTAGGGTCACTTTTCCTTTCCCACCTCTCCAGGCGAAGGGTGAAAGTGGCTTTGCTGGCCAGAGGAAGGCCAAAGAGCAACCCTTCTTTCACTCCAGGTCGCCACCAAAGCAGGCAGGCTGAGGAGTCTGCAGAGGGAGCTGAAAGGACAGAAGGGCCTGTGGGAACATCCTGAGCAGGCCAGCGTAGGGTTGCCATGATAGACTCGGGGGCAGGTCTGAGAGGCGGCTGACTTTTGAGGTCATTGGAAACTCTGGGCTAGAGTTGGGTAAGTAAGGGAGCAAATTCCTCCCACACCCACACTTCTAGCCTTGTAAAAAGGCTATAGGTCTGTAAGGAGTGTGAGGTTCTTTTTAGGGTAATGGAAATGTTATAAAATTGGTTTTATTTGGGATGGGTGAATAACTCTCTAAATATATACAAACCACTGAGGCAGCCGGGTGCGGGCTGGTCACGCCTGTAATCCCAGCACTTTGGGAGGCCGAGGCAGGCGGATCACAAGGTCAGGAGATTGAGACCATCCTGGCTAATATGTGAAACCCCGTCTCTACTAAGAAATTACAAGAACGAATTAGGCCGGGGTGTGGTGGCGGGTGCCTATAGTCCCAGCTACTTGGGAGGCTGAGACAGGAGAATGGTGTGAACCCGGGAGGTGGAGCTTCCAGTGAGCTGAGATCACACCACTGCACTCCAGTCTGGGCAACAGAGAGAGACTCCGTCTCAAAGACAAAAAACAAAAACAAAAACAAAAACCACTGAGGCTGGTGTGGTGACTCAGGCCTGTAATCCCAGCACGAGGTGGGTGGATCACCTGAGGTCAGGAGTTTGAGACTAGCCTGGCCAACATGGTGAAACCCTGTCTCTACTAAAAAATACGAAAATTAGCCAGGCTTGGTGACATGTCTGTAATCCCAGCTACTCAGGAAGCTAAGGCAGAATAGCTTGAACCCGGGAGGCAGAGGTTGCAGTGAGCTGAGATTGCGCTGCTGCACTCCAGCCTGGGCAATAGAGGGAGGAGACTGTCTCAAAAAAAAAAAAAAGCCACTGAATTGTGCACTTCAAATGAGGACGGGGGAGAGGGTGAGGAAGGCATCCACATGATGGGGAAGGAATGGGAGCAGAAATGGGAGCTTGGTTACTGCAAGGGGAGTGATCTAATAAGTAATATTTAAGGATCATGGCAGTCAGAGAAGGGCCTTAGAGACGCTACCCGCTAGCACCAACGAGCACACTGACAATTCAGACCTCGGTTTCTTTCCTTTGAAAAAAATTTTTTTTTTTTTTGAGACAGGGTCTGTGGCCCAGGGTGGAGTGCAGTGGCATGATCTCAGCTCACTGCAGCCTCGACCTCCCAGGCTCAAGTGATCCTCCCACCTCAGCTTTCTGAGTAGCTGGGACTACAGGCTCACACCACCATGCCTGGGTAATTGAAAACTTTTTTTTGTACAGATGATATCTCACTATGTTGCCCAGGCTGATCTCAAACTCCTGAGCTAAATTGATCCTCATGCCTAGGTCTCCCAAATTGTTGGGATTGCAGGCGTGAGCCACTGTGCCCGGCCCTCAGTTTCTAAATACCATTTGCGCCAAAAGGAATGAAGGCTCCTTAAAGAAATAGCTGATTCCAGGGCTGGGGCAGGTGAAGCACAAGTTGTATCCGGAGGCCGGGCGCGGTGGCTCAAGCCTGTAATCCCAGCACTTCGGGAGGCTGAGATGGGTGGATCACTTGAGGCCAGGAGTTTGAGACCAGCCTGGACAACATGGTGAAACCCTGTCACTACTAAAAATAGAAAAATAAGCCAGGCTTGGTGGCATGTGTCTGTAATCCCAGCTACTCAGGAGGCTGAGGCGGGAGAATCACTTGAACCCAGGAGGCGGAGGTTGTAGTGAGCCGAGATCATGCCACTGTACTCCAGCAGCCTGGACAAGAGAACAAGACTCTGTCTGAAAAGAAAAAAAAAAACAAATCTTTGCAGATGTAATTAAGTTAAGAATCCCAGCACTCTGGGAGGCCGAGGGAGGTGGATCACTTGAGCCCAAGAGTTCAAGACCAGCCTGGGCAACATGGCAAAACCCCATCTCTACAAAACAAAACAAAACAAAGTACAAAAATTAGCCAGGTATAGTGATGTGTGCCTGTAGTTCCAGCTACTCGGGAGGCTGAGGTGGGATGATTGCTTGAGCCTGAGAGGCAGAGGTTGCAGTGAGCCGAGATCTCACCACTGCACTCCAGCCTGGGTGACAGAGCCAGACCCTGTCTCAAAAGAAAAAAAAGGGCCGGGTGTAGTGGCTCACGCCTGTAATCCCAGCATTTTGGGAGGCCAAGGCGGGCGGATCATGAGGTCAGGAGATCAAGACCATCCTGGCTAACACAGTGAAACCCCGTCTCTACTAAAAATACAAAAAATTAGCCAGGCATAGTGGTGAGCACCTGTAGTCCCAGCTACTTGGGTGGCTGAGGCAAGAGACTGCGGTGAACCCAGGAGGTGGAGCTTGCAGTGAGCCGAGATTGTGCCAGAGCGCCACTGCACTCCAGTCTAGGCGACAGAGCGAGACTCTGTCTCAAAAAAAAAAAAAAAAAAGGAAAAAAGAAAAAAAAATCTTGAGATCATCTTAGATTATCCAGACAGGCCTTAAATTCAATGACAAGTGTCCTTCTGAGAGACACCCAGAAGAGAAGACACAGAGGAAGTGATGTGAAGATGGAGGCGCAGGTGATAATGCTGCACTACAAGTCAAGGGACACCAAGGAATGCTCAACAATCCCCAGAGGCTGAAGGAGACAAAGTATGATTCTCTCCTAGGGCCTTGGGAGCGACTGTGGTGCAGCTGACACCTCAATTTTGACTTCTAACCCCTAGAACTGTGACAGAATAAAGGTCTGAATGTCTATTGTTTTAAGCCACCAGTTTGTGGTAATTCGTTACAGTAGCCACAGGAAACATACAGTGGCAGATACCACTTTATGATTAAAGCAAACCTCCTCAGTAACGGAACAAATCCAAATCATGCACGCCAGGGGCGGTGTGTGCACCAGTAGTCCCAGCTACTCAGGAGGCTGAGGCAGGAGGAGTATGAGGAGTATGAGGAGTACGAGGGGTACGAGGCCAGCCTGTGTGACATAGTGAGACTCGTTCTTGAAAAAAAAAATAATAATAAAAATAAAAATAGAGCCAGGGCCGGGGCCGGGCGCAGTGGCTCACACCTGTAATCCAAGCACTTTGGGAGGCTGAGGCGGGCAGATCACTAGGTCAAGAGTTCGAGACCAGCCTGGCCAACATGGTGAAACACCATCTCTACTAAAAACACAAAAATTAGCCAGGCATGATGGTGTACACCTGCAATCCTAGCTACTTAGGAGGCTGAGGCAGGAGAATTGCTTGAGCCTGAGAGGCGGAGGTTGCAGTGAGCTGAGATCATGCCACTGCACTCCAGCCTGGGTGACAGAATGAGACTCCATCACAGAAAAAAAAAAAAAAAAATTGAGCCAAGCATTGTGGCTCATGCCTGTAATCCCACCAATTCAGGAGGCTGAGGCAGGAGGGTCACTTGAGCCCAGGAGTTCAAGGCTTCAGTGAAGTGAGATTGCGCCATTGCACTCCAGTCTGGGTGACAGAGCCAGAACCTTCTCTCTTTTTTTTCTCTTTTGAGTCAGGGTCTGGCTCTGTCATCCAGACTGGAGTGCAGTGGCACAATCTTGGCTCACCGCAACCTCTGCCTCCCAGGTTCAAGCCATCCTCCCCATCCCAGCCTCCTGAGTAGCTGGGACTACAGGCAGGTATGGCCAAACCTAGCTAATTTTTCTATTTTTAGCAGAGACAGGGTTTTGCCATATTGCCCAGGCTCGTCTCAAACTCCTGAGCTCAAGCAATCCTCCCTCCCTGGCCTCCTAAAGTGCTGGATTACAGGCGTGAGCCATCACACCCAGCCCTGAGACTCTGTCTCTTAAAAAAAAGGAAAAAAATCTTGCATTATTTGATAGGATGCAAAGAGAGGGGCTCAACATTGCTTCTTCGACGTCACTGCCAAGATAGATAACCTAAATCTTATCATGAGGAAACATCAGAGAAACCAAAATTAAGAGACCTTCTATAAAATAACTGGACTATAACCTTCAAAAATGTTTAGGTCATGAAAATCAAGGAAAGGCTGAGGTATTCCAGATTGAAGGAGACTGAAGAGACTTTCAATGAGTAATTCTGGACAGGATCCTTTTGCTATAAAGAACATTATTGAAACAACTGCCAAAATTTGAATAGGATCTGAAGATTAGATGATAGTAATATATTTATGTTAATTTCCTAATTTTGATGGCTGTATTGTGATTATGTAGGAGACTGTCCCTTGTAGGAAATACACACTAAACTATTCGGGGTGATGGGGCATCCTGTTGACAATTTACTCTGAAACAGTTCAGGGAAAAAAGTTCTGTGTAATGTACTTCCAACTTTTCTTGTGACTGCTTCATAATAAAATATTTAAAAAATAAAGAAAAAAGGGCTAGGCATGGTGGCTCATGCCTGTAATCCCAGCACTTTGGGAGACCAACGCAGGAGGATCATTTGAGGTCAGGAGTTCGAGACCAGCCTGGCCAACATGGTGAAACTCTGTCTCTACTAAAAATACAAAAATTAGCCAGACTTGGTGGCATGAGCCTGCAGTCCCAGCTGCGCTGGAGGTTGAGGCATGAAAATGGCTTGAACCCGGGAGGCGGAGGCTGCAGTGAGCAGAGATCTTGCACTGCACTCCAGTATGGGTAACAGTGAGAGACTCTGTCTCAAAAAAAAAAAAAAAGGAAAGAAAAAAGGATACCAATCATATAAATGATTGTATATGTATATGCATATTGTCAAAGACTGGAAGGCAAATAGACTGGAAGGAAATTAATAACAATAATGTAATTAATATTAAGGAGGTAGGATTGTTTGTAACATTCCTCTGCTTTCGAATCTTTTTTTTTTTTAATTTCAGTGATGGGGTCTCACTCTGATCATAGCTCACTGCAGCCTTGAACTCTTGGGCTCAGGAGGTCCTCTCACCTTAGCCTCATGAGTAGCTAGGACTACAGGCATGCACCACCATGCCTGGCTAATTAAATTTTTTTTTTTTTTTTTTTGTAGAGACAGGGTCTTGCTGTGTTGCCTAGTCTGGTCTCAAACTCCTGGCCTCAAGAAATCCTCTGCCTCAACCTCTCAAAATGCTGGATTGTAGGCATGAGCCACTGTGCAGCCCTGACCTTAAATCTTTTGAGTTTAGTTCAGTAAGTATGTGCTGAGGACCTGCTATGTGACAAGCATTGTGCCAGGTCCAAGGAATACTGAAAAAAGTCACAATGTTGGCTTGTAGTCTGTAAGAAAGAGAATCCTGGGATAAGGATGAGTGCTGCCAGATGCTGAGGACAGGGGACACCTCACCCCAGTGAGAGTGCAGAAGGAGGAGTGTTTCAAATAGGTACTCTTGCTTTTCTATTAATAACAACAATACCAGGCATGGTGGCACATGCCTGAAGTCCCAGCTACTTGTGAGGCTGAGGCAGGAGGATCACTTGAACCCAGGAGTTTGAGTACAGACTGGGCAATATAGCAAGACCCAATCTCTTTAAAAAAAGTAAAAAAGGAATAATAATCATGCATGTTGGGCCTCTCTGAAAGATGTAGGGAGTCCTATCTGCATTGGGATCCCTGGGGAGGGAGAGGAATGTGGAGAATTCAGAGTCCAGGGAGCATGGGCGGCTGGTGGGCTGGGCTTCCAGGCTGAATCATGGGAAAGAAGAACCTGGTCTGAAACAGTACTGGGCGGGATTGGTGTTAGATTCCAGAAAAAACCCCAGGCGGTCTGTGGTGGAACCTGATGGATCCCTCAGAAGGGAAGAGAATGGGGATGGGGCCAGGTTACCATGGTTGATCATTGTGCATAGGCACTAGAGGCCACGCTGGGCAGGCACAGTTGCTGCTGCAGCCTCACATCCTTATCTGGACATGGCTGAGCAAGGCCCCTGGAGCTGGTCCCAATGTATTTCCTTCTATTCTTTTGACAGGAAGCTCCTGGAGAGCCAGTCCCCACCCCCACCCCGCCCCAGCTCTCCCTCTCTCTTCTCCACTATGGACAGAGCCTCCACTGAGCTGCTGCCTGCCCGCCACATATCCAGCTGACATGGGCACCACAGGAGCCATGCAGCTGTGCTGGGTGATCCTGGGCTTCCTCCTCTTCCGAGGTAAGAGGCGCCTGCCACTTTTCCACAGCAATTCCTCTCCGCAGCTGGCCATTCTAGGCGTCAGTCCCTTTCTCAGAATACACATGCTTTCCATCCAGGGACTGTGCCCAGGGGAAATTCCAGAGCCTTTTCATGAAGGGGATCAGTTGGATTGGGGGTCCTGATTACCAGGCAGGGGTAAATGGAGCTATGGTTAAACCCTCTTGTGGGAAATTGCCCTGGGGGAGCTGGGCTCCCCATAGAGGCTGGCCTCCTGAATCATGGGAGGGAGCTGTGTTCGTGCGAGATCCAGGCCCAAAGCTTCTTCTAGGATGTGCTCAGGCTATTCATGACGCTCATCCTCTGATCTTTGGGAAGGGCTGACGACAACCACTCTATCAACTGTTCTAAGACAAATCCTCTGCACCTTGGGCTTCACAGGGAAACTGTTCTCTCCTTTCACATGAGGAGTAGCAGCCTAGGAATTCCAAATGTTGATTTTAAACTTAAATCACAGCAAGAGGGACTCAGGTTAGACACAAAGAACTGTTCACCAAGGAGGATGTGCATAACATTCTCACATCCAGGGGCTAGAGGAGATGACCTCCAGAGGAGGCTACACGGAAACGGCACCTCTCCGACAGGCTCTGCCAGCCAATGAGTTGTGAAGCCACTCAAAGGGGTCCTGGCATCAGGGAGCAATTGCTGGGAATCATGATGAGTCCAGGACATTTTGACTCACAGGGCAGCAACTTCCCTTTGACCATCTCTGCCCTGCCCCCACCTCACCCTCTACAAGTCCTCTGTGCTCAAAGCAGCAGAAAGAGTGCGCAAGAGGGTTTGGATGGGGAGGGGTGGTGGCCCCCCATCGGTGGTGGGTAAGAGGCCTGAGTACCAGAACACTGCCTCCTGGAGAGGTCAGGCATTTCTCTAAAAGTCCACGGGCTGGAGGACAAAACTCTGATTGTCTCCATCCCCTTCTACCCGCTCCATGACAGAGTCACAGTTCTCGGGCTGGGGGTCTAGGCTGTTGTGGAAACTGCAGGTGAGGCTCATGAGGTGGCATTTCCACAGGCCTAGACTTTTCCCAGCCTCCCTACACACTGTTTTCTCCAGGCAAGTGCCAGGGCTCTCAAATGCCCTGTGTCAGCTCTACCTAAGCCGCTATCACTGCCCCCCTGAGTTTCCTAACCTCTCATCCTGAAGTGTGCAGAGCACTTCCTGGCTCCTTCATCTTGATGGACTGAGGAATCCTGAGCACATTCATGCCCATAAAGGGACTTGACTATGGATACTCAGAGGCAGGGCAGACTTGAGACCTGGAGGATTTGAGAGAATGGGGCAAAAACAAAAGTGTCTGGTCTTCATTGAGCTTGTCAGGTACTGCGTTAAGTGCTTCATATGCATTTTCCTTCCCTCATAACAATTTGCGAGGTACTAATACCACTTGCATTTTACTTAGTTATTTTTGAGACAGGGTCGCTCCATTGCCCAGGCCAGAGTGCAGTGGCGTGATCATGGCTCACTGCAGCCTTGACCTCCTGGGCTCAAGCAATCCTCCTGCCTTAGCCTCCTGTGTAGCTGGGGGCTACAGGCACAAGCCACCACACCTGGCTAATTTTTGTATTTTTTTGAAGAGCAAGGTTTTACCATGTTGCCCAGGCTGGTGACTTGCACTTGAAAGAAAACTGAGTCCTAGGCCAGACAGCAACAATGCCAGGACTTGAACTCAGGCTTGCCGGGCTCCATTAACACCCACGATTTTAACTACTAAACTATGCTTCTGAGGAAAATGGGGAGGGGTGCGTGTGGAGATAGACTAGAAGGGGATAACGCAGACAGGATTAGAGAGGGGAAACCAGGGAAATCAGAGATTCCTGTGGCTAGAGCTCTTTGGGCGTCTGCAGGCCCCGTGGTCAGAGACACCCTCTGCTGTAGACACAGATGCTCGCTAAGTCCCTCCCCTACTCACAGAGGAATCTTTGTTGGTGACAAGAAGTTTGGGTAGTGGGAGGGGCAAGAGGCAAGGAAAGAGCAGGCTAGTGGGTCTTGAAGCTTGTGACTTTGGAACTCCTCCTAAGCCACTGAATAGTTTTCTTTCTAGATAAATGCAGAAGGGCAGTTCCTTGTGCCTTCCCACCAAAAATTAAGTTATAACCTTACAGCATTTAGATAGTACATTAGGCCGGGCATGGTGGCTCACGCCTGTAATCCCAGCACTTTGGGAGGCTGAGGCGGATGGATCACCTGAGGTCAGGAGTTTGAGACCAGCCTGGCCAACATGGTGAAACCCCATCTCTATTAAAAATATAAAAATTGGCCGGGCGCGGTGGCTCACGCCTGTAATCCCAGCACTTTGGGAGGCTGAGGCGGATGGATCACCTGAGGTCAGGAGTTTGAGACCAGCCTGGCCAACATGGTGAAACCCCATCTCTATTAAAAATATAAAAATTAGCCGGGCATGGTGGCAGGCGCCTGTAATCCCAGCTACTCAGGAGGCTGAGGCAGGAGAATCCCTTGAGCCCAGGAGGCGGAGGTTGCAGTGAGCTGAGATCGTGCCACTGCACTCCAGCCTGGGTGACCAAGAGAGAAACTGTCTCAAAAAAAGAAAAAAAAAGTACCTTAGATATGCTGGATTAGTAACTGATAGATGTTTTCAGGTCATGCCTTGGGTTAAAAAGATTCTCCCAGGGTCATCCCCAGCTAGAAAGGGTTTTCTCTAGCCTGGGCTTCCTGTAAATTTTAACTCCCCTCTTGACCATCCTCCTCCCCGCAACAAGGGAATGGGACTCTCAGAAATGGTGATCTAGAAAAACATGGCCCAGGGTTTGGTAATTTTATACTTGGAAACAATTAATTCTACACTATCCAAATGATAGCCCCATGGAGGAAGGCAGTGGCTTAAGGAAAATAAGCACAGCAGCAGGCTGCTACAGGCAGGGGTGGACCCCTGGCACCCAGCCGCCTCTGTCCACCCAGGCCTGGGCTAAATGCTCCCCTGATGCTGAGAGGCCAAGGGAGCAGCAGAGCCAGCCCAGGGGCTTCAGTCCCCACTCAAACAGAGGGACGGGAACCCAGTTGGGCGGCTCCACTTCCCCACGTTGTTTTCCTTTCACATTGTTCACAGGTTTCAAGAATGATTTCATTGTGGAAAATGAGCAAATACAACCTGACCTTTCAGGTTCCACATACACAGCAGGACACACACAGGGGCACATGAGCATGCACTCACTTTTGCACAGAGCCCCGCAGACACACTTGTACATACAAAAAAGCCACTGAGGGCTTCTGGCTGGGGACTCTTGGTGACTGACCCCTCTCTGGGTTTGGTCAATAACAACCATGTCCTATGTATCCTCTGCCTGTAAAAGTGAATGGGTTGCTCATGCTAGAGCTTCCCTGCCTCCTATATATACCTCAGAACTTACTTCCTGCACAGGCCCCTACCTCCAGCCAAGATACAAGCCCTAATTCCCATCCCCATCTCACTCACCTTCCCATCTCTCAGCTCCTTCCCTGGGGGCAGGACTAGGGTGACAGTAGCTTAGGGTAAACATTAGCCTACGGACCTGGAGTCCTGGGCCCTTCCTTGTCAAGGTGTGGCAGGTCCTCTGTCCTTCCTTAGAAATGTCACTAGTTTAAAATAACCTTCCCCTGACCCTGCATCACATTGGTAGAATGCCCATGTTAGATTGAAGAGACAGGGAAGGACTTCGGGACCCTGAGCCATGAGGTGGTGGTGATGTTGCTATTGAGTCACAGTCTCAGAGGAAGCCAGCACCGTGAGCCACAACCCGCACCCTTTAGCCCTCTGCCTAGTGTGTCTGCCTTCTAGCATGGTAGGCTTAGAAAGCCAAAAGGGTTTTTTCTGTTTTCTTTTCTTTTTTTTTTTTGAGGGATGGAGTCTCACTTTGTCGCCCAGGCTGGAGTGCAATGGCACGATCTCAGCTCACTGCAACCTCCACCTCCCGGGTTCAAGTGATTCTCATTTCTCAGCCTCCCAAGCAGCTGGTATTACAGGTGTGCACCATCAGGCCAGCTAATTTTTGTATTTTTAGTAGAGGCAGGGTTTCACCATGTTGGCCGGGCTAGTCTTGAACGCCTGACCTCACGTGATCCACCCACCTTGGCCTCCCTAAGTGCTGGGATTACAGGCCTGAACCGCCGCACCTGGACAGTGTTTTCTTTTCTTTTCTTTTCTTTTGTTGAGATAGGGTCTCTGTCTGTTGCCCAGGCTGGAGTGCAGTGGTGCAATCATAGCTTGCTGAAGCCAGCCTCACCCTTCTGGGCTCAAACAATCCTCCCACCTCAGCCTCCTGAGTAGATAGGACTCCAGGTGTGCACTACTATGCCTGAAGAATTAAAAACACAAAACAAAAAAAAAAAACCTTTTTAAAGAGACAGGGTCTTGCTATGTTGCCCAGGCTGGGCCAGAAGGCTTTCTGAGGGTTCCCCTCTAGGCTCTGTGCTAGGCAGGGGACTTACCAAGCTATGTGTTTTGCTTTCTCTTGCAGGCCACAGCTCCCAGCCCACAACGAACCAGACCTCTAGCTCTCAGGGTAAGACCAAACATGGCTCTACTCCAGCATGTAGGCCTAGGAACTTAGGAAGGGTGAGAGGAGCTCTATGCCAATTTAGCCTTAACCTCAGGGGGCTGGGACTGTGGCTGGAGCAGGAGCTCTCAGGACTCACCAAAGCTGAGCTCATCTAAGAATTTTTTTTTTCAGCCTGGCCGAGTCTAATGTGCCTTGAAAGAAAAAAGAGGTGAATGGTTGGGAGTGAGGGGTGGGGAATGGGGTAGGGAGAAAGACACACAGATCTAGGGAAGAAGAGAGGGAGATGGAACAGTAGGAGGCCGTGCACCCCTCAGCCTCAGATGATCTGTTTCAGGAGGCCTCGGCAGTCTAAGTCCGACCACAGAGCCAGTTTCTTCCAACCCAGGTGAGTGAGTGCGGTTACTGAGGTCCCGGCTCCTGCCCCACATCCATTCATTCAGACCTGCTTGGAGCCCAGGGGTTCTTGGATGGGCGAGGGAGTGTGGTGTCACTAAACTTGCCCTACCTCCCACTCACCAACTGCTTCTGTCCTTGCAGGATACATCCCTTCCTCAGAGGCTAACAGCCCAAGCCATCTGGCCAGCACCGGTACGCCAGGTACTGTGTCATTCAGACTGCAAACGCCATCCAGGGAGGGCCCAGTGAGGACCACGACACAGTTTCTGCTCTAAAAGAGAATATAGACCGGGGCGAGGGGGAACAGACAAGGAAACAGAACCTCACATTGATGATGACATGCAGGGTGAGAAGGGCTGCGGTGGGCACAAGCAGAAGTGTGGGAGCCCAGGCACATGTCAGTCACTTCGGACTTGGGGGCCAGGGATGACTCCCAGAAGCGGCTTCTGAAGCCAAGCCCAGAAGGGGTCAGCTGAGCACGTGGAGGCTGTGGGACGGAGGGTAGTGGGGCTTATCCCAGGCAGAGGGAACTGCCCAGAGGTGAACAAGAGAATGGCCCCTTCTGGAACTGGAAGCAGGAAAGAAGAGGAAGATTTTGGACTGAAGAGCCCTCCCGGTGCACAGGCCGGCCAAGGCCCTGAGCAGGCCCACATGTGCTTCCTCATTCACAGCAGCTCCAAAGAAGGCTGCGCAGGCCCCCATGGCACCCAGTAAACCCGTGACGCCGAGGGCAGGCACTGCGGATGGGCTCTTCCTGACCTGGCTGGGCCTAACTTGGGCCAAGCCACAGATGCACACATCAGGACTTGTTGAGTGCCCAAGGCGAGGGGCAGTGGTGAAAAACACTGGGTTCCATCTGGATGGGTTCCTTCTGCCCTCTTCAGGAGGCCACAGGGGTCAGGACCGACATCAGTGGCACCCTGGCTCAGGAAAGAAAGAGGCTTGGTGGGGCATAGAGGCAGAAACTTGGGCCTGGTCACAATGAAGGTAAAAGGAGCTTAGACTTGAGACTGAGAAAGGCATAGCCAGAGAGGAGAGGGAGGGGAAGGATACCCCAAAATGAAGGAAAAGGAAGGCAGAAAAGGCCGGGAAAGGGCTAGAGTCCTCTCAGGCAGGGAAGATTGGCCTTTGCTTAGCAGCGAGGGAGAAGAGCTGCTGGGGGATGCCCCCATCTTGGTCATGCTGTTTCATGGTGCAGGCGCAGGTGTCCCCAGCAGTGGAAGAGGCGGAGGCACAAGCAGAGGTATGTCCTGCTGCGCTCACCCTGAAGAGCAGTGGGCAGGAGATGTCTGTGACCCTTTCTCTCTTATCTCTTGGCTCTCAGATTTTTTATTCTCCCAGACTTATTTGGGAAGGGGGAGTGAGGAGGGATAAGGAAGTGGAACAGCAATTGGGCCTGAAGTATGATGCGTTGAGGAGGGAAGACACAGGTGACATAGCACCTTTTTTGTTGTTGAGAAGGAGTCTTGTTCTGTCATCCAGGCTGGAGTGCAGTGGTGTGATCCCGGCTCTCTGCAACCTCTGCCTCCTGAGTAGCTGGGATTACAGGCATGTGCCATCAGGCCTAGCTAGTTTTTTTGTTTTGTTTTGTTTTGAGACAGAGTCTTGCTCTGTCACTCAGACTGGAGTGCAGTGGCACAATCTTGCCTCACTGCAATCCCTGCCTCCCGGGTTCAAGCAATTCTCCTGCCTCAGTCACCTGGCTAGCTGGGACTACAGGCACGCGTCACCATGCCTGGGTAATTATGTATTTTTAGTAGAGATGGGATTTCACCATATTGCCAGGTTGGTCTCAAACTCCTGACCTCATGGTCTGCCCACCTTGGCCTCCCAAAGTGCTGGGATTACAGGCGTGAGCCACTGTGCCCGATTTTTTTTTTTTTTTTTTTTTTTTTTTTTTAATTTTTAGGAGAGATGGATTTTACCATTTTGGCCAGGCTGGTCTCAAACTCCTGACTTCAAGTGATCCACCTGTCTCAGCTGCCCAAGGTACTGGGATTACAGGCATGAGCCACTGCACCAGGCCAGCATAGCACTTTTAAAGAGAGTCGGAAACCTTTGCCCTTAACAGGCAGCCTGGTTTGTTGGAGCCTTGCCTGAGCAGAAACGTTCCTCCCACCTCAACCCTGGCACAACACAGACGGCTCTATTTTGCCCAGTCTGACCTCATAGCTCTGCAGCATAACGTCCGGTCCTTCCCTAGGGGGAAGCGGGAGGGAAGCTAGCTCTCTCTGATAGGCTGTGTCAGTCCCCTTCACTGATGCCCCAACCCCACTCCATTTTAGACACATTTCAAAATGTTCCCCCCAATTCAACCACCATGAGCCTGAGCATGAGGGAAGATGCGACCATCCTGCCCAGCCCCACGTCAGAGACTGTGCTCACTGTGGCTGCATTTGGTGAGAGCGGGAGGAGAAGGTGGGACATAGAAGGGAACCCCACCCCTGGAATTGACCTGGACTCTAGGTCTGGAAACGCAAGTTCAAATTTCACCCATTTGTTCCAGGAGGTTCTGGCTTATGAGGAAGACCCTTGTGGGAGGGGGCCTCCTGCCCCTCCAGTCCACTCTTCTTAGTTGTGCTGGGTTCCATGTTCTCGGGGGGATGGAGAGGGGGCGGCAGGCTGAGAGCTCACCTGTTCAGCAGAGAAGTGGAGCTCACTTTGCTCCTGGAGCCTGTCTACAAAGTACTCAGCTGGGAAGGGAATGCCAGACTCTTGTTGGCCCCCGTTTTGTCGCCCCGACTGGCCCCCTTCACCCCATTCTTTTCTCTGTTCAGGTGTTATCAGCTTCATTGTCATCCTGGTGGTTGTTGTGATTGTCCTAGTCGGTGTGGTCAGCCTGAGGTTCAAGTGTCGGAAGAGCAAGGAGTCTGAAGGTGCGTACCCTGCCCTCAGGGACCCTTTTCCCCTCTGCTGGCAGACCCAGGGCTAGAGCCCCAGCTCACACCAGCCTGCATCTGGGGGAAGGAATGGCACATGAGTGCCTCTCCATGAGCGGGAGGGTCCCCAGGTGGGCTTTGAGAGGAAGGCTGGACTTGTGAGTTACAGCATGTGAGCCCCAATCCGTGCCTTTGGCTTTTACAGATCCCCAGAAACCTGGGAGTTCAGGGCTGTCTGAAAGGTAAGAACATCAGAAGCATCTTCTATCTGACACCCAGATCCCAACTCCCAGAGGGAACTCACACTTCCCGCCTTCCACACGCACACACCCACACCCCCACACATCACACACACACCCACACACCTGAAACCCACCACACACCCTACACCTCACTACACACACCCACACACCACACACCACACACCCCCACCCCCCACACATCAACACACATCACCCAACACCTCAAGCCACCACACACCCTACACCTCACTACACACACCAACACCACACACCACACACATTATACACCTCACCACACACACCCACACCAACCTCAACCCACCACACACCCTACACCCTCACTACACACACCCACACACCACACACCCACACACCCCCACACATCACAACACACACACACCTGAAACCCACCACACACCCTACACCTCACTACACACACTCCAAACACCCACACACCACCGCATTATACACATCACACACCACACCCACACACCTGAAAACCACCACACACCCTACACCTCACTACACACACCCCAAAACACCACACACCACACGCATTATACACATCACAACACACAACCCACACACCTCAAACCACCACACCCCTACACCTCACTACACACACCCAAACACCCACACACCACACACATTATACATATCACACACACACCCCATGTTATACACACCTCCCACACACCTCAAACACACCACATGCCCCATACCCCACTAGACACACATCTCACACACCACTCACACCACACACACACACCCCCCCACACACGTCAGACACACCACACACCCCACACCCCACTGCAGACACATACCCACACACCACACACACACACCCTACACATCACACACACCACACACACCCCATACATCACACACCACACACACCACACACACCCCATACATCACACACCACACACACACACCCCACACACACCTCAAACACACCACACACCCCACTACACACACACACTACACACCCCACACCACACACATATCCCCATATTATACACACACCACACACACATCACAAACACACCATATACCCCACACACCACACATACCCCATACTATACACACACACCCACACACCTCAAACATACCACATGCCCCACATTCCCACACTACACACACACCCACACATCTCACACGCACCTCACATACCACACACCACACACATCTCATACTGTACACACCACCCTCACACACACCTCAAACACACCACATACCACACCCCCCACCTCCCACACTACACACACACCCACACACCACACATCCCCTACACATCACACACCACACACACCCCATACTATACACACCCCCAACACATACCACAAACACACCACACACTCCACACCCCACACTCCACACACATACCCACCTACCACACACACCCCACAAACCACACACACCCCATACTATACACCCCTCTACACACACACCTCAAATACACCACAGGCCTCATACCCCACACACCACACTCCACACACATACCACACACCACACACCCCCCACACTATACACACACACACACCCCACAAACCTACCACATACCCCACACCCCACACTATACACATATACCCACACACCCCACATATCATATACACACACTCCTATACACCACACACAACACATCCCACACCCCACACTACTCACACACACCCATACACTACACACACCCCCACATACATTCACATACCACACACACTCCATACTATACACACACTCCCACATACACCACAAACACACAACACATCCCATACCCCACACTACACACACACCCACACACCACATACACCCCATGCACCACACACACACCCTATACTATACACACACATCCCACACACACCATAAACGCACAACATGCTCCATACCCCACACATCCACACCACAAACACACACCCCCCACACCCTACACTATACATACACACCACATACATACATCCTATACTACACACACACCCCCACACCCTATACCCTACACACCCACCCACACCATACCCACCCTTATACCCATACTATACACACCCACCCTCCCCACACACATACCCCACACACCCACCCAAACCACACACACACCACACATCCCATACCCCACTACACATACCCACATCACACACCCCACACCCCATACCCAACATACACACCCAAACAACACACATACACCACACAGCCACACGTCACACACATCCCCCCATACCATACACACACACCACACCACACAACACACACACACCCCATACCCTATACTACACACACACCACACACCTCATACTATACATACACACACCACACACACACCCAAACCACACACACACCCAAACCACACACACATCACACACACACACACCCTGTACCTCATACTACACATACACCACACACCCACCCAAACCACACACACACCACAAACCCACATGCCACACAAAACACACACGTACCCCCTATTATACATACACACAACATATACATCTCACACCACACACACCACACATACACCTCACACCACCCACACCACACATACACACTCCCCCACACATCACATACACTATACATAACACTCCCATACCATACACACACACCCCACACACCGCATACCACACACACCCCCCATACCACACACACCACACATGCATTACACCACACACACACACCCCCAACACCTCACACCACATATCCCATATCACACATATGCACCCCTCATTACCACACACACATCCCACACACATACAATCCTGACAGGCTCCCCCGAGGCCAGGGTTGTGGTGGGCAGGACAGGGGCAGACATGAAAAGGAATAATCAAATGACAGGAGATGGACTGAAATTCTTCAACCCAAGGGCTAAGCCTCTATAACCCCATCATGAAAAGTTTAGGAATTCAGATTCTAATACAAAAAGACATTCTCTCTAAGCTTAGGAACCACTTACTGAATACCTATTATGTGCCAAACACAATGGTATATATTTTATAATATTATTTCAAATCTGTATAGCAATCGTTCAAGGTATATATTACTTTTTTTTTTTTTTTTTTGAGATGGAGTCTTGCTCTGTTGCCCAGGCTGGAGTACAGTGGCACGATCTCAGCTCACTGCAACCTCCGCCTCCCAAGTTCAAGTGATTCTCCTACCTCAGCCTCCCAAGTAGCTGGGACTACAGGCATGCACCACCACACCCGGCTAATTTTTGTATTTTTAGTAGAGACACAGTTTCCCCATGTTGGCCAGGATGGTCTCAAACTCCTGACCTTGTGATCCACCCACCTCAACCTCCCAAAGTGCTGGGATTACAGGCATTAGCCACTACGCCCAGCCTCTTTTGTTTTCTTTTCTTTTTTTTTTTTTTTTTTTGAAGGACAGGCTTGCTTTGTTGCCCAGGCTGGACTGCAATGATGCCAACAGGGATCAAATGATCCTCCCACCTCAGCCTGTCAAGTAGCTGGGACTACAGGCATGTGCCACCATGTCCAGCTAATTTTTAATTTTTAAAATAGATATGGGATATCACTATGTTGCCCAGGCTGGTCTCAAACTCCTGGTCTCAGGTGATCCTTCTGCCTCAGCCTCCCAAAGTGCTGGGATTATAGGTGTAAGCCAAGACATTACTTCATTATACATTTTTAAAACTGAGGCTTTAGGCCGGGCGCAGTGGCTTACGCCTGTAATCCCAGCACTTTGGGAGGCCAAGGTGGGCGGATCGTGAGGTCAGGAGTTCAAGACCAGCCTGGTAAACATGGTGAAACCCAGTCTCTACTAAAAATACAAAAATTAACTGGGTGTGGTGGCAGGTCCCTGTAATCCCAGCTACTTGGGAGTCTGAGGCAGGAGAATTGCTTGAACCCAGAGGCGGAGGTTGCAATGAGCTGAGGTAGTGCCACTGCACTCCAGCCTGGGTGACAGAGCAAGACTCCATCTCGGGGGGGAAAAAAGTTGAGGCTTTGGCGGATGTGATGGCTCATGCCTGTAATCTCAGTACTTTGGGAGGCTGAGGCAGGTAGATTGTGTAAGCTCAGGAGGTCAAGGCTGCAGTGAACTGTGATTGTGTCACAGCACTCCAGTCTGGGTGACAGAGCAAGACCCTGTCTCAATAAAAACTAAAAAAATAAAATTGAGGCTTTAATAGAGACTGTAACTTGGTAAAGATCAAACAAGTAATAGGTAGTAACACCAAAATTTAAATGCAAGTCTTGGCCAGGCACAGTGGCTCACACCTGTAATCCCAGCACTTTGGGAGGCCAAGATGGCCAGATCCTTTGAGGTCAGGAGTTCAAGACCAGCCTGGCCAACATGGTAAAATCTTGTCTCTACTAAAAAATACAAAAATTAGCTGAGTGTGATGGCACGTGCTCGTAATCCCAGCTACTCAGGAGGCTGAGGCAGGAAAATCGCTTGAACCGGGGAGGTGGAGGTTGCAGTGAGCTGAGATCGCGCCATTGCACTCCAGCCTGGGTGACAGAGCAAGATTCCATCTCTAAATAAATAAATAAATGCAGTCTTCTGGTCTTCAAAGCACACTCTCATTTCATTATGATTCACCACCAACATATAGATTTTTTGAGACAAAGGTCTAAGGCTCAACAACCTCATAGTTCCTTGACTCTCCATTGCCCTGCCCTCCTCCTCTCTTTAACCCAGACACCCTTCCTCCCCCAGCTGCTCCACAGCCAATGGAGAGAAAGATCGCATCACCCTTATCTCCATGAAGAACATCAACATGAATAATGGCAAACAAAGTCTCTCAGCAGAGAAGGTACATTTTTTGTTTCCTGCCTTCCTTCCCCAAATTCACCTTTCTCCTCCTCCTCCTCCTTTCAGGCCAGAAAGGAGATACTTTCAAAGACCCTGGCTCTTCTCCCCTCTTCTCTACCCCGCCACTCCTAAGAAGTTCACTCTTCCCCATTATGCATTTATTTTGCAGGTTCTTTAAAAGCAACTTTGGGTCCCCATGAGTCCAAGGATGATGCAGCTGCCCTGTGACTACAAGGAGGAAGAGATGGAATTAGTAGAGGCAATGAACCACATGTAAATTATTTTATTGTTTCATGTCTGCTCCCAGATCTAAAGGACACTAGCATTGCCCCAGATCTGGGAGCAAGCTACCAATAGGGGAGACACTTTCCTATATGGACAACTGCTGTGGAAATATTGCCTGCTTCTCCCACCTTCTCAGAGCCACAGGAAAGAGGAGGTGACGGAGCGAGAGCAAGGAAAGTGACGAGGTGGATTGATCCTTTCTACTTTGCATTAAAATTATTTTCTAGCCTGCAGTCTAATTACTTTTAAGGTCTATGCTCCCATGCACATTTCCTAACATAATGTTCTAGCAGCTTTTGGGCCTTCTTTCCAAGGCCAGACATACATGCGGGTTTCTGCCTTATGGGCAGCTCTCTGAGAAACTTGGATGGTCGATAGAAGGGACTTTGCATCAGGTTTTATCAGGTTCACCTGGGTGGTGGTGGTGTCGCTTTTGTTTTTTTTCTTCAGATGGAGTCTCACTCTGTCTCCCAGGCTAGAGTGCGGTGGTGTGATCTTGGCTCACCACAACCTCTGCCTCCCAAGGGTTCAAGTGATTCTCCTGGTTCAGCCTCCCAAGTAGCTGGAGCTACAGGTGTGTGCCACCATGCCTGGCTAATTTTTGTACTTTTTTAGTAGTGACGGGGTTTTACCATGTTGGTCACGCTTGTCTCGAACTCCTGACCTCAAGGGATCCACCTGCCTCAGCCTCCTAAACTGCTGGGATTACAGGTGTGAGCCACCACACCCAGTCATTTTGTTTGTTTGTTTGTTTGTTTGTTTGTTTTCTTCTTCTTTTTTTTTTTTTTTTTTGAGACGGAGTCTCGCTCTGTCGCCCAGGCTGGAGTGCAGTGGCGCGATCTCCGCTCACTGCAAGCTCCGCCTCCCGGGTTCACGCCATTCTCCTGCCTCAGCCTCCTGAGTAGCTGGGACTACAGGCGCCCGCTACCTCGCCCGGCTAGTTTTTTTGTATTTTTTTTTTTTAGTAGAGACGGGGTTTCACCGTGTTAGCCAGGATGGTCTCGATCTCCTGACCTCGTGATCCGCCCGTCTCGGCCTCCCAAAGTGCTGGGATTACAGGCTTGAGCCACCGCGCCCGGCCTGTTTTCTTCTTCTTTATACTAGCCCTGCTAAAGGAAAGCCTCAAAAAGTTAGTTAAAAGCTCAAAGTTGCTCCTCTCCACAGGAATCTTTAGTAAAAGGTGAAAGATTCATATGATCTGAAGAGAAACCAGAGTATCACCTGGTTTATTTTTATTAGTAGGGCTGAGGCGACTGACTAACCACTCTAATAGAGGAGAGAAACGAGGGGCTGTAAACAGTGACCAGTCATCACCAAGAAAGTTTTGACTAGGAAATGCCAATGGGGAGAGGTGAATGAGATGAGGACAAATGCCCTCTGCCTGCCCCCAGGTAGACATGCATCACTTTGGTCTTAGCTATAGGATAAACACTGGGAAGGTTTGCGGTGAAGATAGGTCTGTGACTTCATCAACACAAACCCCACCCACTTTACCCCATACAACAGTTATCTTGTGTCCTAGATATAGAATAAAAGATTGTAGAAATACTGGAAAGTCATTTAAAGAGAAGGAGGAGAAGAAAGGAGGTGTCTGCTTTCTTAGTCTTAGTCATGTCTACCATGACATTAGTTTGGAAATGAATCTTGTGGAAAATTGAGGGAGGAGTCATCCATGTGTGTCTTTCAGGAGTATTTAACTTTATAAGTACCGCTAATTGGCAGTTTGGAACATAGGAAGAACACTGCTTACTCATTCTGAAGCAACAATATGCTATTTTTTCCTGATTCGGGCTTCTCAAGGCGATGAGAGAGACAGCCTAGAACAAAAAGTTTCATCTTCTCTGTCTCATTAAAACTATTAAAATGAGACTGTGGAAACCTAGTGAGCAGGGCATAGTGGCGCATGCCTGTAATCCCAGCACTCTGGGAGGCCAAGGTGGGAGGATCGCTTGAGGCAGGAGTTCACGACAAGTGTATTAGACCATTTTCACACTGCTGTAAAGAAATACTGGGTAATTTATAAGGAAAGAGGTTTAGTTGACTCACAGTTCCACATGGCTGGGGAGGCCTCAGGAAACTTACAATCACAATGGAAGGGAAGCAGGCACCTTCTTCACAAGGCAGCAGGAGAAAGAGTGAGCAAGATCAGGGAAAACTGCCTTATAAAACTATAAGATCTCGTGAGAACTCACTACCATGAGAACAGCATGGAGGAAACCACCACCCACCCGATCACCACCCACCTGATCCCTCCCTCGACACGTGGGGATTATGGGGATTACAATTCAGGATGGGATTTGGATGGAGACACAGAATCAAACCATATCAACCAGCCTGGGCAACATGGCAAGCCCTTGTTTGTACAAAAAAATACAAAAATTAGCAAGGTGTAGTGGCACATACCTGTGGTCCCAGCTACTCAGGAGGCTGAGGTAGGAGGATCACTTGCTTCTGGGAGGTAGAGGCTGCAGTGAGCCATGGTTGATTGCACCACTCTCCTCCAGCCTGGGTGACAGGGTAAGGTGTGAAAGAAAAAAAAAACAAAGGAAGAGGAAGAAGGAAGGAAGGAAGGAAGGAAGGAAGGAAGACAGAAAGAAAAGAAAGAGAGAAAGAAAAGAAAGAGAAAGGGAGGGAGGGAGGGAAAGAATGAAAGAAAGAAAGAGAAAGAAAGAAAGAAAGAAAGAAAGAAAGAAAGAAAGAAAGAAAGAAAGAAAGAAAGAAAGAAAGAAAGAAGGAAGAAAAAAAAAAAGAAAAGAAGAGAACTTACTGTACTCTAAAATCTCCCAGGACAGGGCCTGTAACCTGCCCATGCCTGTAGCTCCTGTGTGACACACTGTGCCCAGCACTTCCTAGGTAATATAAACTGGCTCTTGGGTGAAGGAAATCTGGTCCTAAGATTGGGTTCTGCCACAGACTTGCAGGTTGACTTTGGGTGAAACTGTCCCCCTCCTCCAAGCCTGTTCTCTTACATTTTTACTTTTTTTTTTTTTTGAGACAGGGTCTCACTCCATCTCCCAGGCTGGAGTGCAGTGGTACAATCATGGCTCACTGCAGCCTTGAGTTCCTGAGCTCAACCAGTCCTCCTACCTCAGTCTCCTAAGTAGCTGGGACTCTTGGCATGAGCCACTGCACCTAGTTAATTTTTAAAAATTTTTTGTAGAGACAGGCTCTTGTCGTGTTGGCCAGGCTGATCTCAAACTCCTGAGCTCAAGTGATCCTCCTCCCTTGGCTTCCCAAAAGTGCTGGGATTACAGGCATGAGCTACTGTGCCTGGCGGGTTTTAAAGTGAGCTGGCTGGACAACTTGGCCTTCACTACCTTTTCTCATTCTTATATTCCACAGTTCTGTAGACTCTGGACATAAGAAAAAATGAATAATATGTGCTAAGTAGAGATCACTCTGGGTAGACAAGTCGCAGGCGACTCTGGACAAGCCTTTCACATTCTCAGGAGTTCAAATTCTCCTGTGTATTAACAGGGAAGAAGGTGTCCTACCTGGCCATTGCTACCTCACAGGCTAGTGACTAGGTAAAATGGGATAATAAATGTGGAGATACCTGGGAAGTGAGCAACTGTAACAGACAGCTTGGAGTAGGTCACCAGCACCCAGGTCCCACTTCAGGATCAAGGCACTTGTTCCCCAGCTGTGGGATTGTTGGCTGCTGAGGACTCACAGCTGGTTGATGATTGGCTGTGGGGGTTGGGAGTGGGGATGAAGACCTGGACCCCCTGCCTCAATTACCTGGCCCCCATTCCTGCTTCCCTTACTCCTCACAGCTGTTGTTCCAGGAGTGCTCACCAAGAAACCTTTAGTACGCAAATCTCAGTGTCTCGGAGTCTATTTTGTGGGGTACCTAACCTATGAAAGCAATACTGCAGAATTTTTGTGGGGGAGGGAAGACAGGGCCTGGCTCTGCCTCCCAGGCTGGAGTGCAGTGGCATGGCACAATCATAGCTCACTGCAACCTCAAACTCCTGGGCTCAAATGATCCTCCTGCCTCAGCCTCCCAAGTAGCTGGGACTATAGACATGTGCCACCACGACCAGCCAATTTTTAAAAATTTTTTGTAGAAATGAGGTCCTGCTACGTTGCTCAGGCTGGTTACAAACTACTGGACTCAAGACATCCTCCCACCTCGGCCTCCCAAATTTCTGGGATCACAGGTGTGAGCCATCACACCTGGCTAGTTTTGTTTTGTTTTTTTTTGCGATGGAGTTTCACTCTTGTTGGCCAGACTGGAGTACAATGGCGCGATCTCCACTCACTGCAACCTCTGCCTCCCAGGTTCAAGCAAGTCTCCTTCCTCAGCCTCCTGAGTAGCTGGGATTACAGGTGCCTGCCACCACGCCTGGCTAATTTTGTATTTTTAGTAGAGACGGGGTTTCACTATGTTGGGCAGGCTGGTCTCGAACTCCTGACCTCAGGTGATCCGGCCACCTCAGCCTTCCAAAGTGCTGGGATTACAGGCGTGAGCCACCACGCCCAGACTTGGCTAGTATTTTTTAAATAATTCATATATATTTGATTTAAATCTCACAGCCAACAGCACATGACTTACTAGCCAGTTCTGGTCCAACATCCACCATTGGGATGGAACCCCTCAGATGACATAACAATGCCTAGGATTCTGTTTGTGCTGTTGTTATTCTGCCTGCCATGGGCACTCAGTTCAGCTGCTCATCATACTGGACTAATCAGGTCAAGGACATGGGGCTTCACTCTAGGTAACTCAGCTGACATCTTCATTATAAAACCACACATTTTCCTCTGACTCTGGGCAATGACCTGCATATATAAGCTGTTAGTCATAAGGTATTTATATGTGGGGGAAGAGGGAGAGAACTGGTATTAATAATCTATGAGATTGAAAGGATTTTACTCTGACACTGACACTGTACCCTGACACTACCACATGAGCCATGTGGATTTTCCTGTTGCTAAGTAACTGTTTCCTTTGGGAAAGGGTTGAGGATGAATTTAATGCTGAATTCTGCTCTGGAGCAAATTCTAGTAGAGAGGTTTCTCCTGGAGGAGCCTACTATTTATGCAAATTCGAGACCCCACCTCTGACAGGAAATCTGAGTGCAGCCTTCTGCAGCCCTTGCAGCTTCTCTGAAACCCTCTCTTCCTTCATTTCTAGACAACAGGATGATGATTGTTTACAAGATGATTTCCTCCCTTTTCTCACACAGGACTACATGGTCCTTAAACAGGAACAGATGGCGGGGATGGGGGGCTT